CAGATTCGCTAATGTGCTTGGAATCCTTTATGATGTAGGAAATCGAGACTTTTCAAGAGGATATTACTGCTAAGCTGAAAGATCATTGGGATGCCACAGAGACAGAATCACTCCAATCCGAGGCAGCTACTGAAACCTAGCCTCATGACTACTCTTCTAAAGTTATTACACATATACCATTATTGTTCCCAGCAAACATGGTAGAAAAGCTACATTAAAACAAACATCCTCAGGGACAGATGGCTTATGTATGGCAACCTATACAGCTGAAGGACCTTAAAAATATTAAATAATCGGTTGGCTCAAATGGTCTTCATAGCCCATATGTAAAACTGCTATTTCATTAATGGGCAACCTTTAACAGGGTGATGCCAATGGACTGGGAACAATTGGTGGCAGGTGTACTTGACAATTCATGCCAAATTCAATGGAAGGCCTGGTAAAATGCAATAGAAATGGTTAACGACCATCCAGGCTGTACAGAAACGAAGCAAAATTGATCGAACCTCAGAGGAGCCAAAGTCCCTAAAATTGAAGTGGCTTACAGTGAAAGTATTTAGGTAGAACAACGGCGTATGACCTCTGAGAAGCTATAGGCATTAGAAAGACTAGTTCAGAAATATCAAGATGCTGGACATATAGAGGAATCTACCAGCCCTTGTAACTCTCATGTATTTGTTATTAAAAAGAAATCATGGAAATGGAGAATGCTTACAGACCTCAGAGTCATTAATAAAGTCATTCAACCTATGGGCTGTTTACAGCCTAGAATGCCTTTACCTTCCTTGAATCCTAAGGGATGCCAACATAGTAATCGATCTGAAAGAGTGTTTTTTTTCTCACAATACCATTACAAGAAAATGATAGCGAAAACTATGCATTTACTGTACCAACTCTTAATAATTCACAGACAGTTAGGAGATATCAGTGGAGGGTTTTGCCACAAGGAATGCTAAATAGTCCTACTTTGTGTCAGCACTCCGTACAGCAACCTTTGGAAATAATTCATAAGAAATTTTCACAATCTCTTGTTTGTCATTACATGGATGATATTCTTTTATCAGATTCTAATAAGGAATCTTTGGAACTGATGTTTGAAATGGTGAAGGAAGTTCTACCTCTTTGGGGGTTACAGATTGCCCCAGAAAAATACAAAGAGGAAATTCTATTAACTATTTAGGTTCCAAGATAAACTTACAAAAAATCAGGGCACAGAAGGTCCTATTTAGGAGAGATCGTTATGAAACTCTTAATTCTCTTCAGAAATTATTATGGGGAGATTTCTCAATTACAGATGGTTATTGGGGTAGAAAGACATGGCTTAAAGCTTTTAAAAATGGCCCTGAAAATGATTAGGAACCAAACAGTCCACAAATATTATCCACCGAGGCTTTAAAAGAAGTACAATGGATAGAAAACAGAATATTGGATGCACATGTATAGCAGATAAACCTTATTATACACTGTATTCTGGTTATCTTGACATCCAGAGAATACCATTCTGGGATTCTGATGAGAGGGAAGACACCATATTGGAGCAGATATTTCTGCCACATAAACAGAATAAAAAGTTAAAGACATATATAGAAAAGATTTCTGATTTGATTCTAAAGGGCAAATTAAGACGTCGTCAACTGACTGGAAAGGATCCAGCAGAAGTTATAATAGCTTTAACTAATGAAGAAATTTCCTCCTTGTAGAAGCATAATGAATATGGGTAAATAGCTCTTACTGACTTTTTGGGAACGATTAGCAACAATTATCCCAAAACTGACAGAATTAAATTGATACAAAAGACAATCTGGATTCTTCCATGTATTGTAAGACAAACACCCATGTCTGGAGTTCTTACCTTCTACACTGATGCCAACAAATTAGGTAAGGCAGGTTAGCAAACAGGTGTGGTAAGTAAAGTAGCTCAAAGTCTATATACATCTGTACAGAAGACAGAATTATATGTAATTCTCATGGTACTCCTGGATTTTACACATTCTCTTAATATAGTTACAGATTCTCAATATGCAGAGAGAATCATGTTACACATTGAGACTGAAAATTTATTCCTGATAATACAGAATTAACTTCTCTGTTTATACAATTACAGGAAACAATGAGAAACATAATTAATAACTATATATATTACACATATCAGATACCATACGGATCTGCCATGCCCACTAGCACAAGGCAATGATGAGATTGATCATTTATTAATAGGTAGTATGCTAGAGGCCTCAGAATTTCATAAGAAACATCATGTAAATAGCAAAGGTTTGAAATAGGGCATCTCCATTACTTGGCATCAAGCCAAGGAGATAGTGAGAAACTGTCATATGGGTTCCTTTTATAACCAAGCTCCATTGCCAGCAGGCTGTAATCCTAAGAGAAATGAGGTTTGGCAGATGGATGTCTTTCATTTTGCAGAATTTTGAAATTTAAAATATGTGCATCATACTAAAGATACATTTTCAGGATTTCAATGGGCTACAGATCTTAGCCCTGAAAATGCCTATTCTGTCATAACACATCTGTTAGAGGTGATGGCTTTTATGGTTACACCTGCACAAATAAAAACAGACATTGCTCTAGCATATGTCTCTACTAAAATGGAACAGTTTTTCAAATATTATAACATAAAGCATGTAACCGGTATATCTCACAATTCTACAGGACAAGCAGTGGTAGAGAGATATAATAGAACACTAAAAGAAATGCTCCACAAACAGGCTGGGGGAACAAACCTCCCAAGCATAGGTTACATAATCCGTTATTAACACTAAACTTTTTAATGCCAATGAGAAAGAACAAACAGTTGAGAAAGACACTGGACTATGGAAAAAACAGAAGAACTGAATCAGCCAGTATGCTTCATAGAGGTACTGACTTCTGTATGGACACCAGGACATTTGTTACATTGGGGAAGGGGTTTCTGCCTTTGCTTCCACAGGAGAAGGAAAAATTTGGATACCATCAAATTTAATCAAGATTCGAGTCGTAAAAGAAAAACCTCTAGATTTGGAAGAATGACAGGTGACATACCAAGGTATATCTCATAAGCTGTATAGAAACTTCCCAAAGGAAAGGGAAGTGTTTTGCTTTTATCTTCACAGGAAAAGTCATCTCCAGAAGTCAAAGCACACTCTATGGGTAGATACTTAAGAAGACAAGGTAGCTATAACCATCAAAAAAAGAATGTGCCATATGGTAAACTTTACAGCTGTCTCTCAGAAAACTCTATTTCTCTTTATTACTTAGTCCCTATTAAATTAAACCAATGCCAGATTTAGAGGTGGATTTGGCTTTCCTCCTCTGAATTCAAGCACATGATTAAAATAAACTTCATAGTTTCTGTATCTATATCAAGAAGCCAATTGATGTAATACAGAATAGAGGAAACAATAGGGACTGTCATTTGCCTTTTCTTAGACTTTTTCTCTCAAGGTATACAACCTTTCATAATTCTTATTTTCCCATGTTTGTCTTTTTCTGGTATGCATACATATACAAGCAAACATTTCTCTGCTCACATTTATGTTTGAGTCCCACACTGCTAATGAAGACCTGTCTGACAGCAATCCCTGGATGCTCCAGAAAGAAAATGGACCACACCTCTTCAAGTACACTCTATCCAACTTGCTTCATTTCAACTGACACTCCAGCCAGAACTTCCCATACTGATGTCAATCAACACAAGAAGTTCAATCAATATAAGCACTTCAACCTGGACCTTCAATCAAGTATCTCCCACCAAACATGGACTGAATATAACCCATTCAGGACTTTCATTACACTAATATTTCTTCCCACAGGATTCCATGAGGTTGTTGGCATCCTTCAGCAGGAAGTAGGATGGAGAATACCATGACCCTTTCCCCACAATTGACACCTAGTTAGGGCTAATTTCCTATTGTTAAAGGTTTAGTTTGGAAGGAGGAATTCAAGCTTGGACATCTCTTTCATATGACTTCAAAGTTTAGTTGGAATAGAATAGTTAAGATGGGATATTAGTAGATTATTATTACTTTGTGTAATATTCCCTTATCATTGTTAATGGTAGAAAATTTATATTGTTAAGTTTTATTCCTCATTTAGACAAAAAGGAGAATAGTAGGGGAAATGTTAGCCACATCCTCTTGGGGGCTAGCACATGTGACACATACCACACACACTAGGGCATGATCAGTGACTTAGCAAGACCTTAAATATGAGGGTCCCACAAAGGCAGCTCTCTCTGTTCCATGGTATTCATGGTGGTAGAGGACTGACTCGATCATGTGAGTACACTCTCATTAAAACATCTGTTCTTCAAACTTGGTTTGACTCCTTTGAGGTACACATTATTTATGCCCCAGTTTACTAGGCTGTTTCCAATATCTGGCATTTACAGAAAATATTGCTATGAATATAGTTGAGCAAATGTCCTTGTGGTGTGAATGTGCCTCCTTTGGGTATATGTTCAATAGTAGTATTGCAGGGTCTTGAGTTACAGTGATCCCTAATTTTATGAGAAATCATCATACTGATTTCCACATTGGTTGTGGAAGTTTGCAATCCCACCAGAAATGGAGGAGTGTTTCCCTTTGTTCACACCCTCTCCCGCATGAACTCTCATTGTTGTGTTTCTTTGTGGCAGAAGTGGAAGCAGGACCTAAACAGGGCAAAGAAACACAGAAATGCAGTTGTTTTTCTTTGTCCATGTGTGGCTTCCTTGCACTTTGCTATGCTTATCTCACACATTGCATTTCACCAGTAATTTTCTCTGTTACACCTTGCTGGAAATTTTTGAACAAATGATCATGGACTTCAGAATGTAGGTTGTAAAAATATTCAAAGAAAGGAACACTTTAGACAGATAGAGAAGGAAGTAATTTAGGACCACCCTGAAAATCAATTTGATGCTTTATTTGGAATGGTTTCATAACTGCAGGAGTTTTGTGTATGAACAGAAAATTTCTTCAAAAGACCTTCTTACACATGCTGCAAATGCAGGATCACTCACTTTAGACCACTTGATTGGCCACTATGTAAACACGCTGGGCCTTCTTCTGACTCTGCAGTTTCAAAGCATTTATCTCAGAGAGATAGAAGATCACGCCAATTAGTGACATGCTGGCTGTCAAAAGCCCTATTGGGAATACAGCAGTATAGTGTTTGTGAATCAAAGCTTCTTTTTTCACTGGAAAGTCAGGTGGAAAATCAAGAGATGTTTGGCCATAATGATCGACAAAGTGGTTCCAGCTCACAGCCACACATGTGAAGATGCTACTAACACACAACACTAAGGCGGAGATCTTGTAACAACAAATCTGCAATTCCAAAAATGGATCTTGCATGCAGCTGATCTTAATGGCAATGGCATCAAAAATCATAACTATAGGCTTCATCAAAATGGCACACAGTAACAGTGTTTGTGCATATTTAAACTCAGGGGAGATGGTCCAGGTGGAATTGATAGGGGTATGCACAAGCATTTTAATGACAGTTCCTGAGATATTAAATTCTTGAGGGTAACAAACTTCGAACAGGCCAAAGGACACAAATTGCACGACCTTGTTGTTGAATTGCCACAGGCGCCAGTATTGGCTGATTCCATTCACTATTTCAAACACCAATGCTGAGAGGCTGCTAAGGAGTCCAATCAGCTTGAAGAAGCACTCCATCATGTTGGGAAATCTGAAGAGGAAATTAAACAAATCTCTTGTCAAGTCAAGAACACAAGGAAAAATGGACAAACAAATTAAGTCACAGTTTACAGAGAACTATATTCTCATACAAAACCCCCAATGTCACATAGTTGTATTTTAGAGGTTTATCTATGTATTAAGATTCATCATCCATTCATCAGTGTGCATGAAGCCCCAAAATACTTGACTACAGCAGAAGTTACCCCTCTGCTCCAGAAGGATGTCACCTTGTCTTTGAATAGAAAGATAGAATGCTTAGATATGTACATGATATTGCCACTTTTCTCTCAGTAAGTTTGTGGGTAATACAAGATGGATTTATTTGCCAGGAAAATTTCTCCTCCATATAACCTGTGCTCCATGAACTCTGTGGAATGAGGTTCCTATCTTTGAGAAGGCAGTTGCTGTAACACATGGAAATTGCCACCAGAGAGGGGTAATTTTATATGGTTGTAGCTTGTTTAACACCCTTGCTACACCTTCTTCCTTGCCAAGGAGGTTCTGAGCCTGTTGATAGCAGGAGCAGTGAGTTTTGAAGAAGAAATGGAAAAGACTGCAAAATGCTACTGTTTAAGGCCAAATTTGTGGCAGGATCTAGCTCTGCCCATTTCTGAATCCCATGGAGTAGATGCATGTGTTTCAGGGAAGATCCAATTTGAAAGTCTCCATGTGCCATATTTTAGTTTTATTTTGTTTATTAAGGGTAATGAGATCTATTTGGTATATACTAAGGCCATAAATATGTTCCAAAAACAGGAATGTTTGACCAGTCAGGGAATAACAAAAGAGGTGAATCACCTTCCGTAAAAGAAATCCTGATAAACAGATATGACAACACACAACAGAGTCTCACCAACCATTCCCCGGTTCATATAAAATATCCAATACTCTCCTCTGATTGGCTTAGTTGGAGCATCATTTATACACTTCAAGGAAATTAGCATATCTGATATTCCTGTCCCTCCAAAGAGATCCACACACATATCATCATTATCTTATAAATAGAAGAGATATGCATAGTGGGTAAATCACACACCAAATCAGGAAACTACATGGGTATAATGGTCATAGTGGGCTCCAGTGCAGCCATTGACATAGAGGGCTGCCATGTACTTAGGATGTTTGACAGGATTTACTCACATGGAAATGTTGCCAATAGCTGAAACATATGTTACTGAACATTCTGTCTCATGAAATTGAAAATTATTTATAGAATCTATATAGAAAATATAAAATACTTGCCTCTTTTCTCTTTTATGATGATCAAATGTGAATGGCTTCCCAGTAAAGAGAGTGACTTTAAAAATTCTTATGTTTCCATAGATACCACATATGAATGCCATATTATGAGCAGTGAACCATGATGAAGACATAATCTTAAAGGGACCAGAATGGGAAATATCCTTCTCATATCTGAGAAATTTTGAAGGCATAACTAATCTATTTCATTTATTAATCTAAAAATCTTTCCTTGGTGAGAACCTGGGACACATCTTGGAGGCCCCTCCTTTTGGCTCTATTTTCCCAGGGCAAATAGAACTCCTAATGCCACCCACTAAAGTCCCAGAGGCCTGGAGATAGCATCCCCACACACAAATCCATCCCACATGCAGTTGCAAACATTGGAGCCTTGGTCCTACCCCTACATGGAGAGTCTAGTATCTTCTTTCCATGCTGCATTTCCCTACTGTCTAGGACTTAATATCCTGGGGCACATCATGCACCCCCAATGGACAAATGAGTACCTGAATCTCTATCTAGATCCTAACTTCTAAGCCACAATTGCACAAGGGATATCCACCTTCACAAGCCTACACACCATAGACCAATGGACATGTCAGGCAGCTTCTCTACTCAACAAACAATTACAAAGAATCTAGCAACAATCAAAATTGGCCATATGTATATTGGGAAGAGCCCCTGAGTTGTATCAGCATAGAGCAGAAGCAGGAAATAATCAAAACCTGTAGGAAGAGAAAATGCCTAAGACACAGGTCTTACCTATATCAACTGTAGGAAGAGAGTCCCACTAAAGCACATGCTACAACTGTACACACTGGTGTAACACATGCTTAGACAGCAGTATAAGAATGCATTCAACTCCATGAAGAGAAATATATTTCCACCAGAATATAGAGGCAATACATCAGGAAGAACTGAACATCCCAACACAGATGAAGCAGAATAAAAAGATATTAAGATAATTTTATGGAGGTCTGACTTCTGCTTTTCCTCTTTGGGATCTCCTGGCATGGGGACTGCAGGCACATCAACTCACCCCCAATAGTAGAAGCAATACAGAGCCTCCTGACAACACTGTGCTATTCCAGCCATACCCACCTGTAGAGTGAGTGTCTCTTTTCTTCATGCATCCAACATGAGACCCATAGGAATATGGGACATGCTTGCACACATCAGAAGAAAGCCTTGGATGCATAACCACCAGGAGAGGAACCCCACTTGCACCCTTTTGAATAAGGAATGGGAAGACAACAATATAAAAACGAATTCAACAACATAAAATCCAATATGACACCACCAGTGTCTATGGCTTTTACACCAGCAAGACTTCAACATACCAATACAGATCAAACAGAGGATTATAAGCTTAAAAACATCATGAAAATGATAGGGTCCGTCAAAAATGATACGGGAAATCCACATAAAATAGGAATAAAAAATAAACAAAAAATACAAGAAATAAAAAATCTCTCATACAAAGCAAGGAAAGAGCAGAAAAATAAATAATCAAGCTGATGAGGGAAAAAATTCAAAGAGTTCAAGACATGAAAAACGAAATATAGATAATTATGAAAACACAAACTGAGGGAACACTGGAAATAGAAAAAAAGCTGAGTACATGACCAGGAACTACAGATGCAAACAGAACCAAAAGAATACAAGAAAGCAAATTGAGAATCTCAGGTGTTCAAGATACCATAGGAGAAATAGATTCATTGACCAACAAAAGTCTTAAGTAAAGCAAATCCCTAACACAAAATATCCAGGAATTATTGGACATCTTGGAAGGATGGCTTTATGGTATTCATTGGCTCCCAAATGCCTGGATATCTTTCCCTTCAGGGCTGTAACCCTTGTATTTGGTAAATCTCTGTCTAGGCAGAACTGTAATACTTACTTTGGGAAGGCCATTCCACTCAGAGATATAATATCTGCACTCACCATTGATCTCAATAATCCACACTTATCATGGCCTTAGTGGGGCCTGGAATCCATGCAAACAACAGACAGGTCAGGATAGGATTTTCTTGGGGCTCATGATGATCTTACAGATTCAAGAATGAACTGAATTCAGAAGACCAAAGACACCTCACACCACACATCTGGACCAGATAATGACCTTGAGCACTGATGTCAACTTTGTAGGAATTCTCCAGCATGCCTTAAGCTACACAGCACATTGTTATGGTCCCATAAGCCTATATTCCAAAACACATTGGGGTATTCATTTGATAGGGATATTTTCAATGATTATCATTCACCATTCCGTACACAATGGCATGTAATAGCCAATTGTGATATGTGGAATCTGTAACCCTAATACTTTATGTATTTCTGTCAACCTTAAGATCATAAGGAGCAGATGATCCTGTAGAGCATTGCATTTTCCTGGAATATTGGAGTTTTAGTATTGAGGCAGGAAATATAGTAAGGTTCAAATGAAACCAAAGGACTTTTTGAAAATCATGATAGCAAACCACTAATTTAGAACATCCTAAAATTATGAACTTTTATGAAAGGTATATAAATGGAGCAACGAGATAATGTGGGGGACAATTGTCCAACTAGACATCTTATTCCACCAATAAAACCAATACTGAAAGAAATAGGGTCTATTATTTGGGTCATTGGTAAAAAGACTTCCATAACATGCCCCACCAAAACCATCACGGGGAAATTCAGTACTATTTGTGACAATCCACATCACAATGCTCTGACGCTGGTTGCAAAGGCACTAATTAGTTATGTAACTAAACAGGGACAAATTGAGCTGTTGCCCAAATATTAGCTTCACTCCTACTGAATAGTATTCATTGTTCTTGAAGCTACACTACATGCTAACAGCGGAAGTGTATAACTGTCAAAATTATACAGCTTTAATCCTTGGAACTGCAACAGTGAACTGCCCAAAACATATAATGATATAGTATTGCTACTAAAGTCATGAGAGTAATGAACCACATTTGATTAGATTTGAGGCTCACTCCTTGAGTTGGAAATCATACAAGACCATGCTGAGGAAGAAAAGACCCTGAAATCGAAAAGATTGATGACAACCTCCTACTAATATTCTGCTAATGGAAAACTAAACTAAAATGATTCCTGAAGAAATACTGTAGAACCTAGAGATTAGTGCCCCAATACACACATATCATAGAAGCTTCCTCCTGCAGTAGGAGATAATTAACATAGAGACCCACCATATGCTGGCAACTAAAAAGCAACAATTTTGGTGTTTCATAAACAGGCTTCAAACTCTATGCAAGGAGTTCCTATCTCACATTGTCTTTTAGTGGTTGGGTGGTTACCACCAGATGTATTGTCCTCATTGGGGAATGTTTCCTAGTTTGCAGAACAAGAGACCTAAGCCCTGGGGGGTGCCAGTACCTGTTCTGAAGTCTGGTTTACATGCCTAGTGACTGTTTGGATTTGTTTTTAGGATTAATGGGTATATATGACATCAACTTCATACAAGATATTAGATGTCTTCTGTGTTCACTCCCACAGTTGGAGAGCTATTTAATAGGATCCTTTAATAAACCATGGACTCCAGACTCCAGCATGGACTGAGCCCCCCCAGAAATGACAATATTTCAACTTGTCTTCTTTATTGCCATTGGGTAGCTAGGGGTTTCCCTAAATAAAACTCTCTGATGCAGGGATGGACCCAGGGGCATTCAGCTGGCTCTGATCCCAGAAACAAAGACATCAGTCCAGAATAGATGGCCTCTGTAGCATGAGACATCTGATACAAGCATGTTCTCTCTGCCTTTTAGTTAATTTGGATAAATGTTTGTATATCTTGTTGATTTTCTTGAAGAAAACCTGATGGTTGCATTGATTGTTTCTATTGTTTTCTATGTTTCTACTTAGTTTCTACATAATTGATTTCAGCCTTCAATTTGACTGTGTCCTGGAACTACTCTGGGGTGAGTTATTTTCTTTTTGTTATAGAGCCTTCAATTGGGCTGTTAATTCTCTGGAGTGACTATTCTCCAATTTATTCTTTTGGGAACTTAGTGCTATGCACTTTCCTCTTTGGACTGCTTGTAAAGTGTCCCATAAGTTTGGGTATATTGTTTATCATTTTCAATGAATTCTAGGCTATCTTCTCTCTCTCTTAATCTCGCTCTCACTCATTCTTTCCTTCTTTCTTTCTTTCTTTCTTTCTTTCTTTCTTTCTTTCTTTCTCTCTCTCTTTCTTTCTTTTCCTTTCTTTTTGTGTGTATTTTGCACTAAAATACTTAATAGTTGACTACAGACGAAGGTCCCTCTATAGGACTTTTTGGTAACCAATTTCATTGCAGCTATCAAATGCTGAAATGGGAGTATTTGTTAAGTTAAATAGTAATGCTTGGAATTAATGGTGAAAAAAGAGTTTGCAATATTATATGTAATGTTATGCTTTTTCCATTATGTTTGCCATATATAAATATGACAAGTAACTTAAATAGTAGTCGTAAACAGGGATATTGAATAGAATAATTTCATTTGTAAATATGTTAGTGGAATACTTCAAACACCAGAGCTTACCTATACTGTCTCCTGGAAGAACAACAACTGACAACAGTTACACATGCAGTAATATCCACATCCTATATTTGAATTTTATATCTTTCACAATATGTGTACTTGTGTGTTCTGATGTATGTGTGATTACATAACATGTGGGAAAACTTGAATTCTTTTCTCTGTCCCAGAAAACTTAAATCTATATGTAAAACTATATGTAAAACATAAGCACTCACAAATATTTGCATCAATTCACAAAAATTACTCAGTCATTTTCAGAAAATTATCTTCATTTGATTGAAGTGTATAATACTTCATGTCATTCTTGTGTATACACATATGTTTTCAGCAGCAAATTAAAGACTCCAAACTTATTGTACATCAAATTATTTAGAGCAATTCTCAGTTCTTGTCATTGAATCTGGTGTTCATGATCAGGATGATATCTGCCTGAGGGATGTCACTGTGTCTGGGAGTAGAAACATAGAATGCTAGTTATGGGCATGACATTGCCACTTCTTTCTCAGTAGGTTTGTGGGTAATACCAGCTGGGTTTCCTTGCCAGGAAAATTTCCCCTCCACATAACCTGTGTTCCATGAACTCTTTGGAATGTGCTTCCTATCTTTGAGAAGGCAGTATCTGTCACACTTGGAAATTTCCACCAGAAAGAAGTATTTTCATATGGTTGTAGCATGTTTAACACCATTGCTACACCTTCTTTCTTGCCAAGGAGGTTCTGAGCCTGTTGATGGCAGGAGCATCGATTTTTGAAGAAGAAATGGAAGAGATTGCAAAATGCTACTGTTCAAGGCCAAATTTGTGGCAGGATCTAGTTCTGGCCTTCTCTGAATCCCATGGAGTATATTATGCACTACAGAAAGATCCTATTTGAAAGCCTCCGTGTGCCATATTTAAATTTTTATCTCTGTTTATTATGGGTGATGACATCCATTTGGGATATACCAAGACCATAAAAATCTTCCAAACAACAGGAATTGTTGACCAGTCAGGGAATAACACAAGAGGTGAATCACCTTCCGTAAAAGAAATTCTGATAAACACTTATGACAGCACACAACAATACACTTCAAGGAAATTAGCATATCTGATATTCTTGTCCCCCCAATAAGGTCCAAGCACACACACACACATCATCATCACGATCATATAGATAGAAGAACTTTGCATAGTGGCTAATTTACACACCAAATATCAGGAAGTACATGGGTACAGTGGTCAGTGAGGGCTCCAGTACCTCCATTAACATAGAGGGCTGCCATGTACTTAGGATATTTAACAGGATTTTCACATATGAAAATGTTTCCAATAGCTGAAACATAAGTCAGTGAACACTTTGACATTCTATGTCTCATGACATTGAAAATTATTAATAGAAACTATATATAAAATATAAAATACTTGCCTCTTTTTTCTTTTAGGATGATCAACTGTAAATGACTCCCAAGCAAAGATAGTGACTTTAAAAATTCTTATGTTTCCATAGATACCACATATGAATGCCGCATTATGAGCAGTGAACCATGGTGAAGACATAATCTTAAAGGCACCAGAATGGCAAATATCCTCATCATATCTGAGAAATTTTGAAGGCATAACTAATTTATTTCACTTATTAATTTGAAAAACTTTCCTTGGTGAGAGCCTGGGACCCTTCCTGAAGACCCTTACCTACTAGGTTGTATTTGCTCAGG